TTTTTCTTTTGAGTAGGTTCAAAATAACGAGTGTATTTTTATTATTATTATTTTAATAAAACTAAGAGAAGCTCTAAAAATTTTTTCTATGGTTTTAAATTGAGGTGCAATAAACATCACATTATTCAGTAAATTGTAAAAAGTGAGCTATTGTAATTTAAACTACTTCAGTGCCATTCCCTATAGAAAAAGTCCCAGTTTTTCAGTCTGGAAATCTGGTAACCCAAATTAGTAGTATATCATTCAACTTTGAAGAGTTGGAGATTTATCATTAAAACTTAAAAGTGTCAGTACTATATGTTATAATTTAGAAGTAATAATACTAGTAATATTTTAATAAATGAAGTATTAATACTTATCTTACTTAACATTAGTTTGTTAGTGAGATAACTTAAGAGAGACAGAAATTATTCATTGATATTGTGATGCTAGAGGTGAAATTCATGAACCGTTGTAAGACAGACTACTGCAAAAGCAAGAAAGATTTTAATAATAAAGCATGAAAGCTAAAGGTTTGAAGGCATTCTAATACTGCTCTAGTACTAACCATAAATTATGCCAACCACTGAACCAGTGATATGTCTGAGTTCTTCAAACAACTTGTTGGGCAACTTTCAGAAAACTGAGGTGTAACTTAAGTAGTTAAGATGTTTAAATTGATTGCTATTATATGAGAGTAAAAGGATTATAGAAGATCAAAGTGAACTTGTCAAACAGGAAATTAGAAAATCATTAAGAGTATACGAAAAATGTTGGCTGAAAATGTAAAAATTAACACTTAAGGATTTTGTTAAATACATTAAAGGTAAACAAAACATTGGGATGGGAGTAGAACCTTTAAGGGTTGATAAAGAAAGATGATTATTAGATAGCTGGGTTATTAAATTATATTATTTCTTCAATTTTTACTAACGAAGATATAAATGTAAAGTATTAAATTTGTATGTGAAAACTTTCCTTTGTCATAAAAATAAGTAAATTTTTCTTCATCAGAAAATTCTTGAATGATACAGAAGTGCTTAAGTTATTACTATTAAACTAAAATTTTACAAAAGTTACAAACTTGCATTAGCATTTTTGCATAGTGGGAGGTCACTCATTTGCAATTCTATATGGTTTTTGTCAGAAAATGTTTAAATGATCATTATTTTACTTTGTTGAGAGGAAAATTTCAGTATTTGAGAATACCAAAATATCATACATAATACTTTCAGCTACTGAAATAAAAAACTGCTGTCAGATAAAATTATGTTATTTTAACAGATACTCTGGGCCATCACTAGGGTATTTTGCATCCTAGGCAAGTTATTTATTTTATGCCCTCCACCTTCTCACCTATTTTGATCCACGGTTCTATAGCTCTCAAAAAACATACATAGTGATATTTTTTCAGTCGAAATATTTATTCATAAAAAACACAAAAAGTTGCAAACATAACTGCATACATTCTAATGCAAGACATACAGTACATGTATAAGAAACAAAGTTCAATAATCTGATGAATTTTTACAGTTTCATACTAAAGTTGCACCTTTTGTGCCTTTATGTTTGCAAATTGGCTAATCAGTTCCTTGATATCAAGTTTTTCATTGATTTCTTGCTCTATGGACACAGTTCCTAATCCAACAAGCCTTTCTTGCACCATTGTGGATTGAAGGTAACTCTTTATCAATTTAAGTTTTGAAAAACTTCAATCGCTGCTTGCAACAGTAACAGGCAGAGTAAGGAGTATATGAAGTGCAATAAATGTATTGGGTACACTGTCAATGAGGCCGCGTTCACAAATGAACTTCAGCACTGCAATTGCTGGAATTTCACTGCACAAGTCAGCGGCATCAATATCTTTAGATTCACCATGCTGCAACGCTGATTCTAGATTTACAAAGTGTTCCATCATTTCTATTTATTTCTTATCATGCAAATTTTTAATATCATAGAGAAAACCAAACACCGAACTCAGCTCAAACATTTGCTCAAATTGTTCTTCAGTTGATTGTATTGCAACATCATATACTGCAAAATAAAAGTTCACTTTGAATTTTTCTTTTGGGTCTTTACCAAGCTGGTCTTCTGCTTCATATGCAAATTGCCCCTTTCTACTCATGCACACTGGTTTTTAGTTCAAAGGATGTGGATATCTCTAACTCTTCTGCAAGTTTACAAGCATTAACTAATGTTTTTTCAAACCCTTGGTCACTTCTACATTCTGTAAGAAATTTCTTGGTTTATTTTAGTTGTTTGAAAGCAGAATGTATGTCATGTTCCCTTGCTTGAAATTGCTTACTTGTAACATTTACCTCAAAAAGAATATCATACCATACTGTCAGAGAAACCAAAAACTTGAAGTCATAAAGCCCATGTGCAAGAGATTTTGACTTGGTACGTGCTGCATTGCCAGACGATCCTGTAATGGTAGTGCCTTCAGCAATTTCCATAATTGCATCATAGCTATTGCCAGTATGGTAGCGAAGGGGTTTTAAGGCATCAATGCAACTCTCCCATCTTGTTTCACTTAAGGACTTCACTGTTAGACTTGGCACATGGTGAACCTGAGAAAAATACATAGATGCGCTGAAGTAAGTCAAAGAAGCTTGTAGCCTCCAAGCAACACCTGGCAGCATCATTTACAACCAAATTCTGAGAATGTGAATAGCAGGGAACAAATAATGCACGATGGTTAATGTCCATGATTCTCTTTTGCACATCATTATGTTTACCTTTCATGTTTCTGCCATTATCGTAACCCTGGCCATGTAAGTTCTCCAAGAATAATGACATTTCTTCAAGTTGATGAAGGATGCTTTCAGCCATGAAAGCACCAGTTGTCTTCTTCAATGGAACAAAAAGCAAGAAATGTTTTCTTACATTCATTTCAGCAGTTCTCATGTGTGTAGACTTACTAACATCTACAAGCGAATCATCATTGTCATCTGCTCAACATGGCTTACATCAGGTGTACAATCTAGGATCATTGAAAAATAATTTGCAGATTGAGCAGCTTTATTATTTTTTCTTTATTTGCATTAGTTAATAGCCATATCAGTTTGTTCTGTATGTCTTTTCCAAGGTAATGCACATGAGTTTTATGATCATTTATGTTATGCAGACCCTCATCCATGACTGGATCAAACAAAGCCAGATGCTCAATGAACTTCCAGAAGTTTCCATTACCTGCACTATATAATTTCTCATTTGTTCCACAAAATAGAAGGTTTTGCATATCAAGTATTCTCACTAAAGTAATAAGTCATTCCAATGCCTGCTGCCGATGTTTCTCTTTATGTTTAATCCCATGAATATTTACTTCATCTATAATTTTATTTTCCTCAACTGTAACTCCCATTCTTTCCAATTTTGGAAATTTTCTAAATGCTCATTGTTTTTTCACAAGAGGAGATTATTGCAGCTATATTTTTCCAGTCTCTTGACCCATTCCAAGCAAGTGTTGATAAACCAAATGCTTGCCTGCTGAAAAGTTTGCAACAAAAGCAAAACACAGGGTCTGTTGATACTGCATACTGCAGCCACTGATGATGTATTTCTTCCCCATTTGCAAGCCTCCTCTTACAATGATTAATAATTTTCTTTGATTTCCATCCTTAGGAAAGTGTAAATCTGTAACTTGTTCAGGTCCATGTTTGACCAGAATTTGTTGGAAATGCTCATTACATTCAAACCAGGTAGCAGGATCACTACAGTTCAGTTTACTTATTTGGTTGTAGGTCTGCATTCATCACTATGGTCATGTCTAACCAATTTCACATCTGGATTCAGACAGAATTTATTCCATGTGTCAGAGGTACTCTGATGTTCTTTATCCGGCTCAACTATTACATCTATGAGTACAGGTGCATGTGCTATTTCTACCTCAGAATCTATTTCATGTTGTGAAATATCTTGATCTTGAGGATGTTAGTGAAGATATTTCAGGAAAAAGCCCTCTTCCTTTGCTTGTTCCTTCTCCCTTTTTGCTTTTTGTTTTACAGTACTGAGCTCCAGATGGGTGTTTTTTATCTGCCATTTTTATTTTCACAACAAGATGGAGTCTGCCTGCGAAATAGCTGGTTAGAACTGTGAGAGTAATGGTTTTAGATGATTATAATGATGATTAAGGCTAATCTATGTTTTGTTTTAATATATAAAATAGTTTGCGATATCAGAGTCTTAGTTTATTATACACATACTCCTGGCAATTAGTTCTACACTGTATCAACACCAATACACGACTCCGTCTCTCTGCAACTCGCACAATGCTATCTATTATGCAACGTAATGGCACTGGCTGCATTGACTTGAGCTTACAATTATTAAAACAGTAAAATCACAATACAACAATCTAATACGGATATTAATTTTGTAGATGTGCAAAAGTATTCAGTACGTTAATACGGTTACTATTTAAGAGATTTTTACTATGTTAAGAAATTTTTCATATGTTATTTCTCCAAATCTCCAGAAAGTTTAGATGTGCAGCCTCTGATCAAGAGAGTTTTACTATGTTAAACAACTGATATAATAATTATAAAAATTTAAACATAACAAGAGCTGACCTCAGCACCGGATGCAAAAACAAGTGGCAGGAGCAGCATATTGACAGGGGCACATTACTTAATTGCACTTAAATTATACAGGAATTAGTTTGAATGCATACTTTTACCTCCCCTAACAGTAAATGATTGTTTGTTAGGAGAAAATATGACTCATTACACACTGATGTCTCAAAAAATATATGTTTTTGTATCCATGTAGTGTAAAGATATCAAATAATTATCATAAGCTGCTTAGTTGTTAAAAGTTCTCAAATTTTTTTTTGAAGTTATCACTAAAATGCATTCATTAGAATTGTTCTTCGTCTTTCCTATTTGGAGTTCAAAATTCTCCAAAATATTTCCGATGTTGTTTGTTTACTGCAATGGATTCTTTTGCAACTTTTAAAGTGGATATTTCTTAAGTGCATGCTTTCTTCATTGTGAAAACAATAGAAAAGAAAACTGTATTGGGGTTTTGTGATATGTTTTATGGTTTGCATTTCATGCTGGAACAAACTGCAGAGACCTATGAAAATATCTTTATCAAAGACTATATACTTGTTATTCGGAATACAGGAAATCAATAGAGAAATCCTGACACAGTTTTGTAGATTAATTTGTTTGTTAATACGTAATGGGGATTAGAACTCATAATCAAAGTGCCCAAAGATTAATATATTTAAATTATTTTCAACCTTTCATATTCCTCAGTAGATTCTGCATCTATTGATGTTTATTATTTGTAAGTTCATTACTTTATCTGGGATCTATGACAAGAAACTAGATTTCGTGACAATGAAGGGTTACACTAAACTTGGTACCTTTCTAAATATTTTGGTACGCTGCACTGTACAACGGGGTTGCCTTAATTATAACAATAACCAATGCTAAAACTTGGGATAACTAAACCAGCTGTTATGATATGTTTATTGAAAAATAATTGATGAACACAATGATTTATAATCATAAGGAAAATTTTTATTCTTGGTGGAACATACTACATGTTTCAACAGAACATTGATCTGTTTTCTTCAGGTATGATTAATACTAAGCTATTCACAGTTTATATAACGTTATGAAGACAAAAGGGTTAAGATGAAAATAATGTCAGAAGGTGACCGGATATAGTTAAAGGTCAAATCTGGTCAGTTGTGTGGGCAGTGAATAGAACTCAGCAAATACAGTTTATGTTGCTGGGACCATTATCACGGTTTAGGGAGAGATCATTAGCTCATAGTAGCAAAGGAATGTGCTAGCGAGAATCAGTCCTAAAGGTGACCCCTCCCCCTGATATGCTGACTGTTGAAAACAAAGTGACTATTCTTGAGGGCAAGATTAAGTAATTCTTCGAGCTGTTGGTGGTTAAAGCTTACGTGTATTTCATTTTTGTTAGGGAAAGTTCATTTAAGATTATTTGTATTGTTTCCTCAAGTGTAATGTTTGTGAATAAAGATTCAATGTCAAACCAAAGAGTATATACTGATCAGCATTAGTAATTTTAGAAATTTCTTGCACAAAGGAAATGGAATCTTTAAGTGTAAATTTGTTAGAAGCAAATTTAGCATAGGAACAAGAAACTTGTCCAGTTTATAAGTATGGGAACCGATGCTGGATAAAATAGGTCTCAAGGGGATGTTATTTTTGGGAAAGTTATGCAACCCACTTTCCTATTCTATCTGATTTGTTGTTTGCTGTTGTTTCTTTTTGACTTCATCCTTTTATTCTGTACTTAAATTAATCTTTACATAATGTTTGAACTCTATAAATAGTTGGTCCCTAATAGTATACCTTGTTAAATATAGCTTGCTGAAGATGGTATATGTACATTTCGAAACGTTCCAGAAGTAAATGTTTGTTACCACACACATGTAATATGTTCATTGCTGATGTCATTCTACTGTTTATCATTACACAAGGTATCTGGCAGGAACTAAATTTCCTAAGGCTAAGAATAGCCTACATCAACTGAATTATAAAAGTAGGAATAACACAGAAAATCATATTTCTGAAAAGGGCAGCCACTTAACTCCAGTGCCATTGCCTCGAAAGTGAACCAAAGCAAGAATGAGGCTAATGCACCGATACCTTAGGTTAGTCAGTAACATTGAAGAGAAAAAGAGTTCTAGTGCACTTCACAAGTTTTGTGTTATTGTTTTCCTGAAAAGGAAAGTTTTTTTAGTTTTTTTTTAACTTTTGAATCACTTTAGTTAAGGATGAAAATCGTTGTACTTTGACAATGTTGACAAGCAACACGAAGTGAACTTGGGTGCTCTATGGAAACTTTTTCAATTTTGTTTTTTTAGCTAGCCAATTTTTATGCTCCCAAGCTCCTTGCACCGCAGACAAATGCTTAGTTCGCCTAATCGTAGCACTGGCCCTGCAGATACTCTATATATGTCTGTAGTAATTAGCATAAATTGTTCATTGTTAAGGACAAAGCTGCACAATTGACCATCTATGTTGTGCCCACTACTGGTATCAAAACCTGATTTTTATTTTAACAAGGTGCTCCTTGTTGTCTCTCAAATGTTATGTAGATTATTAGTTTGAGTGTAAGAGGCAGTGGATGTGAGTTTCCTTGCACTGTGATGACAATATTAAACACAATAACTAAATATTATACTTGACTGTTATAATTTATTTTTATGTATCTTTGAATATAGGTGTCACATTTAAGCCTAATTTTCTTATTGGATACTTGTAATTAAAAAAAAAGAAAAAGATTTTACCCAAATTTTTATTCATTTAGCAGTTATCTTAAAAATATCATTTTCTTTTATACTGATGATGTCATTGAATAACTTACTCCACTAGGATTCTTCTTAAACGTGAATCTATACCAATGTGTAATGAGTTAATCATTTGTTCTTATCATTTTGTTCTTTGCTCTGAAACCATTAATTGTATTTTACAATTTATGTTTGAGTTAACATTGTGAATACCTTAGGATAATCTGTAAAACAGCACAAAAAATAAAGTCTATTGCATTATTACAAGTAAAACAATGGACTTGTATTTTTTGTGCTGTTTGGTGAAACATATCTTAATATATCTAAACTATGCATAGTTGTAATAATGAGCCACAAAGCCTA